TCTTAACGCCAAATAATGAGCCAGGCTCAGTCCGGTACATTTCGTGAATACACTAAAGACTTACGGCCTCCTAACTCACATATTCAATTAAGAGGCGCACCTAGTGTAATGTCTTGAATAAAAGGTAATTTTTGGGAATTTTGATTAAAAAAAATACTTTATCAATTATTTCAAAATTTTAAGAATATATTTATACATGTTTCAAGAATATAAAGTGAAGTTTTTGAAGAAAAAAAGGTCCTTCACTGCTGCAGTGATTCCGGCCTTCCCCGTGGATGAAATCTAAAAAAAATTCTATTCTATATTCCATTGTCTGTACAATGACCTACGATTAAAAAAAATGAAAAATTGGCAGCATAGTGGCGTTTTAAAAAAATAGTCTAGTTTTACCCAAAATTTTGGTCGTTTTTGCCCTGCCAAAATTCGATTTTTTGATCAGATCAAAAATCGATAGGTCATTGTACGGAGAACTTAGTATAGAACTTGTAAAAAAATTCGATTGTGATCGGATGACTTGTTTTTGGGTAATCACTGCAGCAAATTCGGAAAATGCTGTTTCGAGAAAGACGCGTTTAAAGATAAAATGATCGTTTTCACTCGTAGCTAATGAGACTCTCTAACTGCCGAGCGGCTGCTCTTTAAATTGCTATAACTCAAAAATTATTTGAGATATGGATTTGAAATTTTAATATGTTATTTTGAAAAGTGTAATCTAACGAAACATGAAAAAAGGTCGAATTTTTTGAAATTTCATACTAGGTGTGTCACTTAAGTGTTGTATTGTGCAATGGCACCCGATTACAGATGAAAGGATTGCATTGAAATGTAATCGAGGCTACTTCTATTCTGGAGACTGTTTTCAATGAGTATCTGTATATACTCCCATAATGCCAATAAAGTATTCTAAGCAATAACCACTGACGGGTAAACTCTGGTCTTCTCTTAAAACATGAAAGCCACGATTAAATTAGCAATGTTGTATTAGGGTTTAACAATAATAACGCAAGGTGTGGTTTTTAAACTATATATTTTCATAAATATCTGACTTTTGACTAAAACAAAGCATGTTTGGTTTGACAGTTACTATTGATTGATATCAAAGTACAACTCTTTACTTTTGAAACCTCGAAATGAGTAGCCCTTTGTATTAAAATGTGCTTACTTAATTGTAGATTTTATGAATTTCGATAATACTAACACCAACAGATTCAGGCAAAATTCATCCAAAATATCATCTGGCCAAATAAAGTAACCGAAAAGTGTGTCTAACTTAAATACTTCTAAACATTAACTGAGCATTTAGTGCATAAATACCGATAAATAAATACAGTCATACATACATTTCAGTCATTAAAATTATTCACACGAACTGCGTACACGTAAATTTGCGTGAGCTTGATAAATATGTATGTTGAGCAAAACTGTGTATATGTACATATATGTACATATATATTAACGTTTAGTAGAGTGGGTATATTACAGCAATAATTTTGTGATTTTGTTAATAATAATCTGCCCAGCGACCGAAAGGTCAGTTGAGGGAAATTTTTCCAATGAATGCATTCAACTGTGTGAAACCTTAAAATGATAATACAAATATCTTTTAGACAACGCTTCTCAAAACTTGTATTTCTAAAACTGAAATGAATTCATAGCTATCATAAATTCAAAGTTGAAAAATGTAGAATGGTGAATAAGAAAGTAGTCTTAGTTTTGAATTATGGAAAATAGTCTAAAAAGACTAATCCAAATTTAAAATTCCGAAATTTTTAAGAACGCCCAACTTCCCAGTTGTTGAAGCAATCCAAAAAACCGGAAGAAAAAAATAAATTTTTGTATTTATTCGTAATCCGTAACCTTTTTGATTTTCTTCACATAATCGCCATTGATTTCAATGCATTTCTTTATACTATAGATCTATTTCTGAAAGCAGTAACCCTACAAGTTTAGCATTAACCACATTAACTGTCTCCTCGTTGCTACTGAAGACCTTTCCTTTTACATTTTTTATTAAGTTTTGGAAACTACTAGAAATCTCAAGGTACTATGGCCGGGGAACATGCTGCTGGACGGATGGTGTACCATTTTGCAGTTACCGTATTGACTGTAAATTACGCCTAAACGCGAAGAGAATCACATGGGCTGGAGGCATAATTAAATCATACGTGTATGTTTTATGTACAAGCAGTGACTGTTACTAGTGCTCGATAATGCAATATGATAACCCAGTTCCTATGGCCGAAACTGGATGATATTAATGTGACCAAAATGTCATGCTGGACACACTTCAATTACTGCATGAGAGATTTCCAAGTCGAGTTCTCTCTCATTTGGTGTCTAGAATTGGATCTCTGGAAAATTCAACATTGCATCATCGAAACGAGCCACATTTTTGCAGAATAGTCACGGAATAATTTGATCAATAAGTGCGAAAGTGTATCGAAAACAGTGGACACTGCAACAACACTAACTGAAAATTCTCGCAATTTAGAGCACCGCACTGTAATTAAATTGTGAAAAGGAAGTACGCCGAAAGCAATTTTTAAATATATGAAATCGGTTCTTCAGAATTTTGCCCCTTCATATACGAGGTTGAAAAAATAGGCTCAGCTGTATCGGTAAGGAAAAGAGACCCCCAAAGATGACCCCGTAACGGTCGTCATTGAGGAAAATGTTCAGAAAGTTGAAAATTTAGTACTGTCTAATTGGATAATTAAATTTTGGCATATAGTAGAACGATTACAGATAAGCAACAAATGAGCTGGAGAGATTTAACATGAACATTTGTGTATGAAAAAAATAGTACGCATTGGGTACCGCGAACGCTCACGCCGTGCGACTATCAGCGACGAGTGTAGAGTTGTAAAGATTTTTTGAAGTTGTGCCAGGATGACTTGGATGAAATTTGCAACCACATTGTATCAGCTGATGAAACTTGTATGACCCCGTGTCCAAACAGGAGCCGATGCAGTGGGTAAAAAACGGGAAAGGCCATCAAAAAAATTAATAATGGAAAAAGTCGGTTTCGAAGATTATGACTACCATTTTCTGGGCTAGCGAGGGAATATTGTTAATTGATTACTTGCCAAAGGGAACTACAATGAATGACCAGTAGTATGCCAATTTCTTGAGTCAGGCGAGTCAGCCGGACGTATAGAAGAGACGTGGCAAGTTAACGCTCAGAGTGCTGTTTCTTCAAGACAACGCCGCTCAGTTTAGATGTTTTAGAAGCTACCGAACTTTTTGAAACTGAACACACACCCTACAGCTTTGACCTGGTTGTCAGTGACTTTTTCCTGTTGTCAAATATAAAAAAGGAGTTACGGAGACGAAAATTTTCAGTCTACAGTTAGTTGAAATTGGTCTTAGAAAACCATTTTGTAGAGAAATCTTAACAATAGTTTTTCAGTGGCATGAGGCATTGTATTCACGATGTGAAAAGTGTATATCACTTGAGGAAGACTATATTGAAAAATAAAAATCACAAAACTATACATTTGTTTTTGTTATAAGTTTTTAGTGAGCAAAAGGCCTGGTTTGTTTGTATGAAATGAATACTCTTTTGTTATACAACAAAGAAAAATGATAGAAGTGACAGGCGATCCCCACATCTCCTCATCAGATTTCTTGTGGAAGGGATCGAGCCAATGGAAACTTACTTTATTTCATTAAGTACTTAAGATCGCGGAAAAGTCAACCCTCTCTCCCAAGTCTGTGAAATTGAATTAAGTGATGAGTCGTGGATTTACGCGTATAAACCGTATGTTAAAAATAAACTGAGAGATCTCACCACTTCAAACGTGCGCAAAAGTGTAAAGATTTTAATGTCGAATATTTTAAAAAATAAAAAATAAAATATTCCTCCTCATATCCATTGAAAGTGCAATCAGTAAATATTAATTTTTAAACTTTTAACAGGATAAATTTTGGTGTTTTTATATTTCCAAAATTATTTGTACAAAAAAAAAAAAAAAAAAAATCTCTTTGTTATTATTAGAAGTAAATTTTTTGCATACTTCACAGCTCCAATGTATAGAGACAAAAATGCATTGTTTCTTCATTCTATACTTGTACTCCTACATACGTACATATGTATGTAATCTGTGTGTGCAGTGATATTTCCTTATATTGCATTCCATTTCATTGCACTTGTCTTTGATATTTTCTTTGTTTGTGTATAGGCGTGTGCTTCTGCTGTGTGTGTATATATGTGTGTGTGCGTGTATGTGTAAATGGAAATGAGCACACAAGTAATGCAAAAGACAAATTTTTGAATGGAAATGTGGTCGAGTCACAGCGGGGTAAAACAAATTGATTGCCTGAGAGTTGCTCAGTCATGTCAGAACCGCAATAATTTTTCTTTTTTCAAATTCTTTTACATAATTTAGATTTTCTTGTAACTTTGAATAAGTCTGTAATTTAAAAATTCTCTAGTTTTCATTTAACTTACTTCTTATAGCAATAAACAATTAATATTGTAAACTCAAATGACCGTTAGTTAGCTGAGTCGGGTTGAATCCGCTTGAAGTATCCTTCAGCAAGTAGAGTCTTCTGTCTTCTGGAGTGAAGTCTTCTGTGATAACCTAAACTCCAGTCAAATGGACATTCGTTAGCACGTTTGGCATAAAATAAAAATTTTTACTAAATCGAGCGTGTTGCGCGAAAGTAGGTAAAAAATTTTAAGCCGGAAAGCACTGTGTACCTACTCAATGGTTTGAGTAAGGCCGCCCGCGTTCAAGACCCCTTTTCGAATTACCAAATAGTTTTGAGGCTTTATTTAAAAAATTAATAAATTAAATACTAAAAAATGGTGCAAATCACGCACCTGGGGCGAGGTGTTGCTGGATCTTGGTGGTTATTTTAGCTGCTGCTTAGGGTTTCACAATATTTTTTTTTTTAAGCTGTATTATATATGTTATTGTTGGTCTAAAGTAATAAAAAAATATGAAACAAGCAGAATATTTTGAAATCATTAACAAAATTTTTTTACTCTTTTTCAGGTGTCGGATTACATATTGAGATTGTAAAAAGGTAGTCTGTTAACCGGACTCAAAGCACAGCATTTTATGGTAATTCTCATTAGGTAAGTCTCTTTTCAATAATTTTTTATTTATATATGTATAAATTATAGCGTTTATTGCTTATGAATTTATTTCTGTGTTCCTGATTATTACTTTATGCCCTTCAGTGGCAGCTCTTAAGGAATTCGTTTTTAGCCTTAACGTAAATTTGAAAATTCATTGTTTTTAGACTTTTCATCCTTCATGGTTTCATTATCTGCGGTATTCGTCGATGCCAAGATCAAAATCACCATAACTAGATATCAAAGCTTTGCGATCGAAGACAACATCCACTCTTTCGCACTAAATAGTAGGACGGAAATGGAGAGTGACGCGCAGAGTTTGGTTTTGATTCTTCGAGAGAGAAGCTTGCTTTAAAATTGCCTACTCAGTCCAAAGTGGCTGATATTGTTATAGCAGAGAGCAGCGTTGTTTGTTTGCAAGACGATTCATGGTAAATTTATAGACCAAACTGAAGATATTAGACAGTGATACAAAACACAAAAGGTGCGGAGGCAACTTAAAATGAACTGTAGTTCTCTTCATTTTGTTGAAAGACGCTTACCACAAATTAGTGGATTAGCTCTCTTCGGCGATTATAAAACGCCAATCATGATATCGAGTCCCGGTAGCATGTGCAGACCAATGGGGTTTCCCATTTCATGGATGATGCGGAGCACCCTCAGATTATAATTCTCTTGCATGCTTTCATTCGCTCTTATTCCGCAAAGTAGCTGATGTGTGCGCCTTGTAAGCTTTTCACCGCCATATTGAAATAGCTCAGCCGGTAAACCATTAGTCTTATCCGCCCCATCCACTTTGTAGTTCTTTAAACTGGCAATTGCTTTTCGATCCTCGTCATAGTCGGGTATTTGAACGACTTTTTCATAATCATCGATGGGTGTTTAGGGTTCGCATTTTCAGTACCATTCAGCAGGCTGGAGAAGTGATCTCTCCATATTGCAAATATACATACTATGGATATCGGCCACCTGATTTTTACATTGTTTCCTACAATAGGGGAATCTATTAATAAGTTAAGTTTTATTATTTTAAAATTCTTAATTAAGTCCTCAAGTTTTGTTATTATTGCCCACATATATATATATATATATATATATATATATATATCTGGCGTTTTGTAACCGCTGCAGCGATTTTTCGGCCGAGCTCCACCCTTAACTTGTGGATTTGCGTCTTAATGTTTTTCCAACATATTCATTTTATACTAAGCCGCTCTCGAACGGCTGATGGAGAAAATTTAAATTGTTTTTTACTTAAATTAATTTTCAACAACTTTTGGGTGTTGGCGGCACAGGGATATGAACCTGCGCCTTCCGAATATCAGTACACAATGCTAACCACTCGGCTACCGCGGCCGCCAATTTCCTGGCATACTTTTGACATAATCTAAATCGGAAGCTATATTATTAACTATCATACTTTAAAATTTTTGCTAAAAGTAATGAAAGTGAATCTTTTTCCTTTATATTTATTCATTGCAGTTTCCGCTCTTTTTTTTGACAGATTTTTAAATCCTCCGCCAGTCGCCACAAATTATGGAAAATGTTGCTTGATTCCAAAAAATGCATATATGAAAATTTGTATGCAAATATGTTTATATATAAGCGCACAAATCCGATTTCTTATTGCAGCTAGTTAAGTTCTGATTGCCCCAACAATAACCGTCATAGATGTAAAAACTTCCAAGGGAGCGTGAGACAGATTTGACTGGGGAGCTTGTAAGATGTGTTTGCTACGCTAACGCTTGACGGCTATTAAAATGTGTACTCAATCTTATAGATGTACATAAAGATGCACTCATATGTCATAAATTTAAATTATTCGACTGTACGTACGCTCATTAGGGTGTGAGCACTATTCTAAAGTTTGTAGCAAAACTTCTTCGAAACGATGTATTTCACGTTGACCAAAAAATGTCAAAAAATTCTGTTGAAATATAATATTTGGAATTATTATTGTTAAAGTAATTAACAAAATAAATTTTATTTCGTTTTTATACGAAATGAAAAGCCGTCGTTACTGTTAAATCGTTAACAGGTAATGTTAAATCGATAACATATAATGTTAATTCGTTAATAAATCTGCTTTAACAATTGTAACTTGTTATTTTCAACTTTTTAATTTTTATATTACTATCATTTTTTGGATTTCAAATATTTTAATTTTCTGAGTTATTAAAATTATCATTTTCAAATGACCAAAATGTGTTAAGTAAATACTGCTAACAATAAAAGTTTATTTTTATTTCTGTACGTACATACATTATGAAGATTCTTATACCTATAGTCATGTTAATCGTTAACAGATAATGTTAAATCGTTAACAGATAATGTTAAATCGTTAACATATAATGTTAAATCGTTTACAGATAATGTTGAGTCGTTAGCAGATGAAGTTAAATCGTTAACATAAAATGTTAAGCTGTTAACAGATGATGTTAAATCGGTAACAGATAATGGTAAATCGATAACATATAATGTTAAACCTACATCTTCTTTAACATTTGCTACTTGTTATTTTCAACTTTTTAATTTTTATGTTACTTTCATTTTTTGGATTCCAAATATTTTTATTTTCTTATACCTATAATCATGTTAATCGTTAACAGATAATGTTAAATTGTTAACAGAAGAAGTTAAGTTAATTTAGACGACCAATTTGACAAATAAGCTTACCCTAATGTGTATGTCGCTCAAATATTATATATTTTGTGCACATTGAACTTTGAATTTTATTTGCATAATTGCACATGGGAACGTATGTAGATATATTCATATATATATGTATATATGTATATATATATATATGTGAGTGTTTGCTTGTGAGCAGTTTTATGTCAGTTGCTATTCTTCACCAACTATATTTTCATAGGAGACATAACGAATCAAACCAAGAGTTTTTCAAAATTTTTGTCTTCTTTGTTTACGCTGTTTTTTCTTTGCTTTCTATTAAATTTTGTAGAAACGGGTGAATGCATTTATTGCACGTATTTTTGTCTTTTTCGCATTTACGAACACTTTGTGTAAATTTGTTTGAATTTCACTCCGTTTCTTTCTGTTCGTTGCTTATGCTTGACAAATTTGCATAGATACTCGCATGTGAAACTTGATTCATCCTCTTAACAGTTTTCCTTGCACTGTTGTCGTGTGCGTGTGCATGTGCGTGTGCCTGTCTCCACTGCATAACTGTATGTTAATGCACTTAATTGTATTTAAGGTGTTTTTTTTTTTTGTATTTTCTTCTATTTTTTGTTGGCATTCTCTGAGGCCTTCTTTTAACTGTTTTCATTTCGCATAACTTACAGTAAATAACTGTGAAAATTTTGTTCAGCCTGCTTTCGGATGCTTGTACTCGCTCGTATGTCGGCTTGTGTGCATATGAATTTCATGCCCTGTTGCGTGTGCAAACACAAATACAATTACATACATTGAAGGGGTACAAGCAAAGTAATTTGTCATTTAATCGTATTTTCGCGTAAAGCGGCTGAGTGCAAAACATCGTGGAGGAGGGATGTAGGCTACAGGAAAATAAGCTAAATATTATATTTCCGTTTCTCCATCAGTTTCGTTAGTGAGTGCAATAAGTGCAAATAGCAAGCGCAGCACTTGCAAATCTACAATCGCTCTGACACTCACATTGCTGTTGACAACAGTTATGCAACATCAACAATAACAACAACAAGCAAAAATGTACACTGGAAAAAGGTACAACACTAATATGCTGCCATCTGAGCATTTCGCAATATTACTTGCATAACTGTTGAGTTGCTGTTGCATATTTTCAAGTGCGTCAAACGCACACACAAAGCCATGCAGTTAGGAGCAAAAGTTGAAAATATTATATACTAGATCTTTATAACTTTGTATAAATTTCACTTTTATTTTATTAAAATTTCATATGGACAATTTTAGTTGTTTTAAATTAAATTAAAGTACTATTTTTTTAAATAATACACAAATTTTTTTCTTAAATTATTTTATTAGTTATATCTTTGTACTCTAATTTGCCTTGAATTCTTCCATTTTATTTTATTTTAATTCATATCATTCTTTTCATTATATTATTTCATGTATTATTATATCATATATTATCTTAAAATAAACAACTTTTTTTAATCAAATGTGCTATTTTCATTTTTAAATTTTTAAATATAATTTAATTTGTTCTACTATCTTTTTTTTAATTTAATTTAATTTTATTTTACTTTAGCTTATATGAAATTTTTGCTTATTTTTTTATTTAAATTAAATTTAATATATTTAATTATACTTTGTGTTATTTTATTTAATTTTTTTTTACTTCCAATTTTCAATTTTAATTCTATTCTATTCTATTTTAAATTTTTTATTTGATTTTCGTTTTATTTAAAATCTTATTTATTTTTTTATCTTATTGTAATTTATGTTTTTTTTTGTTTAATTTTTTCCATTCTTTCCAATTTTCAATTTTCAGTTTTAATTTTTTAATTTATTTTAATTTTTTTTATTTGTTTTTCATTTGATTTAAAATCTTATTTATATTTAATTTATTTCATTGTATTATATATTGTGTTATTTTGTTTAAATTTTTCCTATTACCTGCAATCATTTTTATTTTATCTCATTTCAAATTATTTTTTCTTGTTTGTTATTATATTATTTTTCCTTATATATTTTTCCTTTATTAATTTTATTGCCTTTTCTTATTTTAATACTTATTTGCTTGATTTAAATTTACAGTTAATCTTTTGGTTTTCTTAGTATTTCTTTGTTTTATTTCTTTATAAAATTTAATTTCACTTTTTTTCCTTTAATTTTATTTGATTTAATATAAACATAGTTTTATTTTTTAGGAATATTTGTTTTAGTTGATTTAATTTTGATATGTATTATAAATTTTTTAATTTTATTTTAAATAATTTAGCTTATTTTATTTTATTTTAATAAAATTTTATTTTTTATTTTTTGTTAATATTTTTTGTTTTATTCTTAATTTTTTATTTAATTCTATTTAAGTAGAATAGAAAAAATTGTTATTATTTATTTAATTTTATTTTAAATTATTTATTTCACTTGATTTTATTTTTTTAATCCTTTTTTAATGTTATTTTAATGTATTTTGTTTCATTTTTTAATTTCATTTTATTTTACTTTAGTAAAACAGAATAATTCGTTATTATATTTATTTTTTATTTTAATGTTATATTTACATTTTTTTAGTATTATTTCGTTTAATTTTGTTTTGTTGTATTTGATGTTTTTCTTGTCATTTCAAACTATTATTATTTATGTTATTTCCATTTTTTTATTTGATTTTTTATACATTATTTTATTTTATTTGCCTTTTAATTTCAGTTTTGATAGCCTCATCTAATAACATTAAAATTAGATAAGGCTATATTGCTTTATTAAAATTTACAATTTTTGATTTGTTTTGCTTTGTTTTTGTTGACTCTACTTATTGTTTCACTTAATTTTACTTCTTTCCTTTTAATTTTAATCGAGTTAATTTGTATTAATATTATTTGTCCTTATGTTTTTTTCGTTTAATTTGTTTTAGTTGTTTTCTTATATTACTATTATTTTAATATTTTTTTATCTCTTTAATTTTACATAATTATTTTTTACCTTATTTAATGCATTTTTCAATTTATATTATTTTGTTATTATTTATTTGATTTCAATACAATAATAAACAAGAAAAAATAATTTGATATCTCATTTCAGTAAAAATGATTTGAAATATAAGAAAAAATTAAAAAAACATAAAATAACATAAAATATAATAATAATATTATTTATTTGATTTTTGAGATATATATTTTTTTTGTATTATTATTTTTGTTTAACTTTATTTTAGTTTTAGTTAAATTAGCATTTTTTATTTTATACTATATAATAATTTTTAAAGGTAATTTTTTGTTACTTTGTATAATTTAATTTTTTTAAATATATTTATTTAATTTTGTTTTATTTTATTTATTTTTTGTCATTTAATTCTAATAATTTTGTTGTATATAATTAATTTTATTTTCTTTATTTATTTTCATTTTAAATTATTTTATTTTTTTTGTTATTTTTTTAAATTTATTTTGTTTTATTATATCTAATTTTATTGGTTTTTATTTTTCATTGAATTTTATTTCATATTTTATATTATATTTTTTTTTTTAATACATATTGATGTTTTTCATGTTTTTATTTTTGGTTTATTGTAGTTAAATTTAGATTTTTAATTTCATTTTATTTCATTATTTTGTTCTTTAATTTTATTTTGTTTTAGTTTTTTTGTTATTGTATTAATTTTTTTTATTGTTTTATCATTTAATTTTTTAATTTGATTATATTTATTTTTTTCCATTTCTATTTGTTTACTCCTTTTCTTTTTTTTTCAATTTTATTTCCTTTTATTTTATTAATTTTTTTTTATTCGATGTACCTTATTTCATAATATTTTGTATAACTAAATTTTTTTCTTCTGTTTAAATTTAGTTTTCAGTTTCATTTTTTTATTGTTTTTTTTTTTTTTTAATTTTACTTTGTGTTATTTTTTGTTGGTTTTTTTTTACTTAGTTGTGTTTTTTTATTTATATCAACTAGTTAGTTCGTTCTAATTTTTTGCTTTTTTAATGTGTTCTTAATATACATACAAATGTACATATATATTAATCCAGAAGAGTTGTAAATATTCAGATTTCTAATTAAATGTTAAAAAATACTATAAATAGTAGTTAGAAGTAAAAATTTTGCTCCTTACTGTATGCAATACACAGACATACATACATATATTTTGGCATGTAAATATGCGAATGGCGCTTCACATTTTTTATATTTCTGTGTATTCCTTCGGGTGTTTGTGAAATTTAATAAATGCAGGAAAACTTTTCACTCCGTTGACATTATGTGTGGCATGTGTGGCAGCGAATTACAGCTTGCAACATGCGTACGCGAACACCCCGTATGTACGTACGCAACTGTAACGTATGCAACAATTTAACATTTGTTGTTGCTGTTGCTCATCACTTCCCCTCAGTCACTGTTTCGCTGTACTTAGGTTGCATTTTTTGTTGATGTTTTTGTTTTTGCTTTTTGATTTCTACTTACTCGTTAGCAAATTGTACAAATATTTTGCCACACTGTGCCATTCTACACTCAGCCAGTTGGCAGTTGCATGCAATTTTCCATGAACGTGAAACGTGCAAGTTTTCTGCATCAACTTACTTAATTAAGTTCTGTTTGTATGTAGTTAAAGATAAAGTAAAGTATTTTTTAAGTACATAACAAGAAGATAAGAAAGATATTTGCTACTCGAAATGCTAATATTGCAACTTTGCTTTTTTCACTAATGAAAATGGGTTTATCAGTAAAGTAAAGGAAAATTATAGAGAAAGCTCGTTATGTAGGAATTGAAAAACAAATTGTACAACGTAAATATACATACATATGTTTTATACAAAATTAGTAAAATATTTGCAAAATTTTACACTTCTAGGTGGCGTTGAGATGATAAAATTGGGAAAAGTAGTGAGAGAGAAAGAGCGGAAGCTTTTAATTAGCAACTATTGCCCAAAGCTTTGTATAATTTTAAGACTGCTGTGTGTTGCTAATTTTGTTTTTTAAATAAAAATGTGTTGAAATTTTTGCTACTAACATACTTGGTGGTCATCCGCTTACCTAAAATCACTGATTTTTCTATAAAAATTTTGAAAAGGTTATAATTAAATTAAACAACTAATAGAATAGACTTTTTCCATTCAATGTCATCTCACCAGTGGCGGTCTAATAAGAGCACGTGTTTAGTTGAAAAGCTCTCTTAAAGTCAACTCACTCGCTTATAATAGACTCAGTTAGACCAAAAATTCTGTCTGATCTGTACAATTTAGATTGTTCGCCTGTGAGTGCGATTTAACTTTTCCCTCTGGTTAAAAATATTTTGGGACATTGAAATACCTTGTACTCATCAATTTATCTCTTGTAGAAGATTATCTCTTTTCCATTTAATTATGTAGCTCTTATTATCTGGCCAGCTTATTAAAAGCGATACAATAAGTTCACTGAAGGTGAGCTTTTTTCTCCGCTAGGACTTTGCTGCTGATTGTAGGGTCCACCTTCTTCTTATAGGTTGTACAGAGCCCATTTAGATTTCAATCGTTGGTCATGCTTACGTCCGATAATATTCTGCAATCAAAATGATACATTGATATTGCCAATTTTTCGTCCTCATAGTCCAACTGGTAAGCCATTTCTTGATTTTCTCTCGGTTAGCTGCTATTCGGACTTTATCGGTTAGAATTTCGGGGAAGCCATTGCTAGGTGGTTTATCTTCACAGCAATTAAGTGGGCTGAAAAAATTTGTCCAGCATTTGATCGCTATACTCTGAACGGCAGTCACCAGATACCGTTTCTCATTGCTATTGAAGCAGAAACTCCATTCTTGACAGCGTCTCAAGACGCCTCATTTTATTATGGAATATTGAAACAATTTTCCTGTCGGCCATATCCTAAAGCTCTGCTCTCTCATAAATTGGATTACTCTCTTTTTTCCTGTATAAATGCGCTACTCTCTACAACGGATGGCAACGTCGCCGGGTGGTTAGTCTTCCCCCTCTGCAGGTTTCGAGTATTGTATAGAACTCAGCTGTTTTATGGAGAGCTAGGCATGTCGTGCCCCAGTTCTTTTATAGCGACTTTTTTACATGTGTACTTTCAGAGAGCAGTAGTGCAAGTTTAATTCTGCTTGATAGTCTGCAGTGATTGCCGCTCGTTTTTGGCTTTACATATGCATATACATATCTTGGTCACACTTCGAGTTCGAGTCGATACTAGAACTGCGAAAACGTTGTTCTCATTCTATAACAAAATAGTCGAACGGGTTTTGAATTGTGCATTCCGGTGACAACCAAGTAGTAGATGGATTATATGTGTTTGAAACTGGTATTAAATACAGCCGCTGTGCAGGCTGAAATTTCTTTTATCTTTTTTGCTAACCATGGCTGATTTTGATGTCGTAGCAGTAGCAGTGCTGGTATGCCCGTTCTAAGCGCTCGTAGAGAGAACTCTTGATTACATTCTTTTCTGAGATGAATATCTATCTCTTTTGCACCATAAATCCATATTCTCCTTCTTTGTTCCATCCAACGTATTTCTTGGATGCAGCTAATGTCAGCTTCACTTTTTTTGGGGCACATCAACCAGCTGTACAACGAACGGTACCTTCCCGAATAAGGCCCCGCAACGTGGAATCTTCGTATGAAAATCATGTAGAGTTTTAATTCAAAAATATGAATATACGCTTTTTTAATCTTTAATCAATAATTAAGTTTTTGAGCGGAATCTTGTAATCTTGTACTGGAATTCCAATTCATGCGCTTATACATCTCACTACTACCTTACCTCAGTATTATACCTTTGAAATGTGTTTTACAGATCAAACGTTCATTAATTGAAATGCAATCTTAGTAATGGAGAATATTCATTAACATGGGTAGATGAAGTCAAAGCTTTTTAAACGAAGAAAAACCATGAATAAATGAATCAGCCAAAACAAATATATGAAGAATGTGAATTGTGGGAAAAGAAGCATACTGTAGCAAGCAAAAAAAAAAAAAAAAACGAACATCAAACAAGACTTGTATGAACGTAACCTTTGCAACCAAAAGCTTTGTAGTGTTCAACAAATAATATCCGTTCGCCATCAATTCCCTACCAAATTCAAAGCATACTTTTAGGGTAAAATGGTAAGATAGAGTGCTATTGCCATATACCCAATAAACAAAATTATTTTAATTGTTATGTCATTCTGAAGGTCAATGTTTTTGTTCTGGTTGGACCAAAATCCACATTTAGCTGAAATTAATTCCTCTAATAGCGGTCGCTACTCGCCGGGCATTTTAAGTCCACCGAATATATTTCAGATATGAAATTAAAAGCTCCTCATAAAAATCCAGCGGTCATTCGGAGGCGACTCGGAATAAATTGTAGATTCCTCCTTTTGTTGGAAAAACATCAAGATACTAAGCCATAAATTGGAGGAGGATCTCGTTCAAAGGTTGCTTCAGCGGCCAATTAATTATATGTATATTAGGTGTAGTAAAAAGGAACTCATTATTTTTCCAATAGATGGCGTTATTTATCTGCATTCCGCGTTGAATAAGTCCTATTGGGTTCCGCTAGATGGCGTTAGAAAGATGAAATTTTTTAATAAAAAATCGTTTGGAACTATTTGGATACGAAAAGTAAAAATTCAAGCCTGCAATAATAATGGATTTCTTTTCACTACACCTGATATACATATATATATTTTTTTATATTTTGTTTAGTATTACATTTGCACATTCACTGGGTTAATAAATTGCAACGGCCACCACTTGTACATTTTCATATCGCTTGTGAGTACCAATCGGTTGCATGGAAATGTTGCGTTGGTAGTAGTGCTATGTTAAGAGCAAATGGCTGAAATACTGTACTCCATTGGCAACTGAGCAACTGTTTGGCAAACCTTTCAAATTCGATGATTTGTTTCTATTGGTTTCTACTTTACCTGACGTCGCACTTTGTGTTAGTTTTTACTTTAAGCCAACTCTTTGTATATATGTAAAGTGCTTAGAACTCAAATTGATTTTTTGATATGAATTTCTACTTAAGCTAACTTGCTATATGTGTATATAAAGACATATACTCTTTAGCACTCAAAGTTCTTTGAGCATTTAATAAATTCCAGAAAAAATGCAAAAATATCCTTTTTGCTAGCGCTTGGCTTTTGATGCGTAGTGAAGTCATGAGGCAGTTGCTTTGGAGAAATAATATGGATATTAATTACATTCACATCCTTAATATTATTAAGTACTACACAATATCGCCATATACCAGAAATTTTTTATTTAGCTCCGCAGCTCTCTTCTACTCTTTGTCTGATACCTCGTTTGGCGCCGAGCGACTTTGATAGGGTTTTCTCGATCCGTACGAAGCTGAGGGTATTGAGACTAATTATGTAATTTTTGCACAAATACTAAATTTAATCATAGCGGGTTACAGTTTGCTGCTATTTGTGCTATTAAAGCCTATTTTAGAAGCGACAAATAGATGATGTGTCTCTCTAGCTTTTAGTTATTGCTCGATAGAACCTTATAGGGGATATTGAAAAACTATTAGCCGGGCAGTTCTTATTCGGAATTTGCCCAGGTAAAAGCATCGATTGAAAATTCAAAAATCTCCTGGTGTATAACTTTAACTCCCGTACGTTACAAATTACTGTGCTTTTCTGTGGTCAGATCACCTCTTTGGTTCCTCAATGAGTGTGCCCTAGTCTTCAAAGCCTCTGTAACGAAAGTTCTCGCAAAACTTACGAGCATTTCCCCTGTCGGTCAGCTTCTTAAACTTTTCTTACATACACATTTCAGCCTCTCCCTTTTCTGTCTAAAAATAGGTCTCGCTTTTCTCGCAGCATTCGATCGAAATGCTACGAGGTAGATATTTAGAGTCAATATTAGAACCTCGTTGTGTACGCCCAGCTAGAACATTGCCTTCATACTTCTGTGTATCACGACATAGTCGATTTAGTTACAAGTTCTTCGATCTTTAGACAACCAAACAGTCTAAAGATTTTTTTGAGTTGGAATCTTATACCACAGACAATAAATATTTCGGGCCGCGGAGAAGTTAATCAGGCCCAAGACATATTGGGCCATGTTACATCTTAATTGCGCCAAATAAATAACTTTGGCCACCCTCGGATTAATTAGTCAAACATGATTTTGGTAACGTGACGTAGGTTGCGACTGTAGGTGCGTTACAGACTCTCAAAGAAGGCATATATCATCCACTTAAAGTATCGGCAAAGACTTCTTGTACCAGTAACAAAGAAAAAATAAGTATTATTCAGTAACTTTGCCTCTTTTTAAATTTCATCAATATTCCGGTTTGTGATGTAACACTATTTAGTTCATGTGTCTTCCACGACTGTCCTGCCGAACCATTTATCCAACACTTTTTCGATCACAGCGCCGTCTATGACAGAAATGGTACCTTCAATTTTGTGCTGCAAATCAGTGATTTATTTCTGAACGTTAGCGTAATCAGCTGGAGCTTCATTTATTTATGCGATTTTCGAACACAATGCCCAAAATATCGATTATGACATTGACGCTAGCGTCTTTCGTTAGAAGCCACACATCTTCTAAATACTTGTCGCAGTAGGAGTGGCTCCACTGAAGCCACCCCTCTTATAGCCGTGACCCAAGGCGCCACACGGGTGGCTACCCCATTATACAAAAGGGTCACTTACTTTTTCGACGTGGACGCAAGGGTAGGAAATTGAGAGGCTATACCTCTACAGACTCTAGCTGCATACCTAGAAGCTTGACTATACCTAATTGGCTGCGTTGGTTAGGTCATAAGGTCCGGAATAATAAGAATATTACAGTTTTGAAAGTGTTCGATGCACTACCCGCCGTTGGAATAGGACTTGGCTGTACTTGGTAGCTCCAATTGCAAAAAGAAGAAATTAATTGCGCATTGTGGTTAACTCTGCTATAATCGGATATAGTCGTGTAAGCGTGCCAGGAAAGAAGAAGAAAAATTCTATTGAATAATTGCCTGCCTCATTGGCTCATAAGTGATCGATTCGCTGTCAATGCTAGACTGAATAGTATTATCGAGATCTGGGATATTTTTCTTTGTTTGTTGCAGCGAGTTTAGCTTGCTAACTCGGTCCCCCGGATTCCTAAAATTGATTTGGAATACTCCGTTAATCTGTTTTTCTTTTTACGTCACTAAATTACAGAGTTTACGGGGAAATGTGATAAGTCCTGCAACTCGATCAAATAATATTTCGCTTTTCCTCATATCATTGACTGCTTTGATCATGTCGAAACACATATTGGTGCTTATTGGCAAGGTTTCCATATTTCGCCACAACTATGAGTATTTTAGGCTCGCTGTCGCTACTTTCGATCAAGGAATGAGAGGCTAGGTTGTTGTGTGGACGTTTCAGTCGGTCACTATCTTTTCGAAATACGCAGACCTTTACAAACGATCGTAAGATTTATATATATATATATATAAACAGGGTGCTCCAGCTTTTATGTCGATATGTAAAACTTGAATAACTTTGTGAAAAAACAACCAATTTCTATAAGTGATGTATTTTTATTCAGTTTGGTTCCTTAATCATTTTTTGGACTAGTTTTTGAAAACTATATCAATGAAGTGGCTACCTTTATTAGCAATTACAAAATGACTACTTTTTTCTGCGTTTGTCATTACCTTTCCGAACATTTCCGGTGTTATAGCGTCGATTTCAGCACGAGTGATTGCCTTGAGCTCATCAATAGTTTAAGGCTGGTTGGCGAAAACCTTGCTTTTTAGAAAACCCAACAAAAATAAGTCCGGGGGGTAAAATCGGGTGATCTGTGGTCGCATTTTGCCACGTTATTTTTTTCCTAGATGCACGTTGAGCTAACACAATCGAACGACTGTTTTCGATGTAAAGTGTCACTATTTCAGTGCGTTGTTTCGGTTTGAAGCGATTCATTCCAAAGCAAATCCGATGCAATCGCTCTGTTGGTGAATGTGTAATTTATTCAGCGTTTACATATCGCACCCTGTATATATATTGATTGTTCTACTTATTTGTATGTATGTTTGGGTCACTTCTTCACTGCTCAAATTCTTTGATGAAAACATTAACATATGAGTGCCTCGAAGTAAGCCAAACCCACCAATCGGATCTGGGCTTACTAACACTTAAGTAGAGAAAATGCCAAAAGACATATCTCTACATGAGCCATGTTTATATCCAAATCATAATTAATTTTGCCAATATCCCTTTTCCTTAAAAGAAATTATTATTTAATTTTCGAGTAAATCGAACTTGGTTTCAGGTCCCCGGTTAAATTCCAGGTAGCAATAGTATTTAATTTAGAAGAACCATTGAATATTTTAAATAGAACAAGCTACTCCTACATAAATATTAATATATAACATAATAATTAAAAGAAAAGAGGTTAACTTGCTGGAAACAAAATTTAAAGCAAAAGTTACAATTTTTTTTACAATTTTTTTTTACATATGTACTGCATTTCAAATAAATTGAACCATAAATACTAATTTTTCCAATAGGCCAGAGCCCGATCCACTTCCTGGAGGGAACATGGACGAACAGTCTCCCTATTAACCGCATCAAAAAGCCACCGGTGTACCGAATTTCGAGTAAATCAAGCCATAAATGACACTTGTTAGAATAGCTCACGCGCTGATCCACCTCCAGCTTTATATTTCGCATGAACCTTTTCAAGAAGCATAGTATGATTTTTTCTTAAAAAATTCTTATTAATCGGTTGACTTGAGGATCTTTACAAACGTACATAAATCATGAACTCCTGCGAGCGGACTTGAATTGGCGTTCATGGCTGTTGGAGCACCTTTAAAAAAGTTTGAAGATTTCAATATTTCCAAATTTTCTTCATGCGCAAACTGAATCATTTCGTAAACTACAAACCTTGTGCTGACACATCGACACACACCGGGTCATTGAAGATTGAAGAATACCAAAATAGGCCGCAGTTCGAATCGAAAACGGCAGAGGGACCACTCTTTTTAATGGGGTTAGTTAACACTTTCTGCACTATGTTTCTAGGCGTGACGTCAATATTTATGCTAAGCTTGATACATTTCCACGCAGCTGCAATATCCTTAAGGTGTTCTTCTTTTTGCTAAAATCCCAATTATTTCTCGATTTTCCTAATTTTTACTTTAAAAGTT